AAGATGAAGGACAATGAAGCTGTGAAGGACTGTAGAGATAAGCTCATGCAAATAATAAATCAAGTGAGGTAAGAATATTTTAGAAAAAAAATATTGTGGAGAAAGTCTTTAAAAATGCCTTGACAACAAAATTCAAAGGCAAAGATAGTTGTGAGACAACACTAAGAAAGGGACTTTATGAGTCAAGGGAGAAAAAAAAGAAAGGCTACCAGCTTGGCAAAAAAACAAGTTATAAGTTTGTTCTCATTGCAAGAAAAAGAAGCATGCATAGATTAATTGCTGGTTCAGACCCACTGTAAAGTGTAAAATCTGCATCCAATTTGGTCATGCTAGAAAGGTATGTAAAAAAATCAAATACACATGAAAAGATCACTCAATCTGTAAGGCAAATGGACATCTCTTCATGACACAAATCAAGCATTAAAGATAGATTGAAAGTCCTCAATGCAAGCATTAAAGGGGAATGTTGAAGCTAATGTTTATGTGTACCAAGTGGACAAAAAGTCAAGCGATAATCCACCTGAATATCATGTATATTAGTACATGTCTTACTCAATTTTGAAGACCACTATGTGGTACTTTGCATCTTTATATATCAAACTATGTTTAATGTTTGTCATCTATCCTTTAATAAGTGTTTTATTTCTCCAAGAAACTTATTAAGTAAATGATGAATGAAACTTATTATTGTTGTCACAATAGCCACCATAAACCTTTGTTATTCCCTGTTTGCCATACCCAAACAAAGCCTTCCTTTAGTAGTCATATAACCTTTATTTCTCCAAAAACTACAGCATTAGTCCCTTATCTTAAGATTCCCCATGGCACTAATCCAAGAAGTTCAAGAACTTGGGAACTAATCATCAACCAATTTAAAACCAAACTAGCATTGTGGCAATGTCAATATCTCTCCTTTAGTGGCCTTATCACACTCATCAATTCAATTTTGAATTCATTGTCGATTTATTATCTTTCCATTTTTTAGTCTCCTAAGGGAGTTATATAACATCTTAAGTAGCTAAGATGTAACTTTTGTTGGGCAGCTACTTTGATAAGTGAAAAATCACCAAAGTTAAATGAAGTGTTATATGTAAATTGAAGATCTTGGGGAGACTAGGGATCTTTGATCTCTCTTACAAAAATCTTGCACTCTTTGCTAAATGGTGGTGACAATATGATATTCAAGATAAAGCATTTTGCTGTCGTTTGATTGTGGAGAAATATGAGATTGGTACACTCCATTAGCTTCCTTCAACTCGCCATCTAAAGAGAATGTCACATATATGGAAGTCAATTACCAATTTACCATCCAAGCGAAGTACTACGAAGTTGATTGGCATCAGAGCATTTTTTTTTTTGACTTTGACTCTTAGGTCCTTAATGAACAATTCGATGTGAGTTTCCTATTTTCCCTTGCCACTAATGAAGAAATCACAATCCCCAAATTGCATATTGGCTTTTGACGTAATCTTTCCGCGAGGGAAAGTGAGTTCGTCTAAGGACTGCTTAATATTTTTGATAATGTGGTGCTCAACAATGATAAAAAATATGGACTCATATGGAAGCATGATCCTAAAGTATCATTCTCAATCAAGCATTTCACCTGCCTCTTTAATATGCATGACACTTCAAACAATCAAAAAGTATGGCTCCATCCCATACAGAAATGGCCAATTCCCTCTAAGGTTTAAGGGGGTTTTCTATGGCTAGTTATTTTGGATTTTTTCCTTTCCAAGTTTTTCCTAAAGTCCTAGGGTGTCCAATTCTAAAATGAATAGTTGCTTTTGTAGTTGGTGCAAAGACAGTGAGGGAAGATAGTACCTAATAATTACTCTCATACTTTCATGTCATTTTAGTCGGCAAATTTGGGGTTTGATCTTATAGTGGTAGAATTTTTCATGGTTTATGTCAAATTCCTTTGAGTTTATTATCCAGTTGCCATAACGTGTCATCACCAATATTTTTTGTTTAGGTGTGATTACATACCTAAGTAAATCTATCTTTCTTAAAGATGTTTTATTCTTGATTTAAGGTTATTAAAAATGATAGATTCCTATCTACAAAACAAATTTACGTTTAGGATTACAATTATGTAAGGGGTAGCTATTAGCATTTTCTCAATACCCATTTAAAGAATTATATTGATTAATCTTGTGTTTTCTTATTTATAACCTTAAAAAATAAGCCTTAACCTCAAATTTAATGTTATTTTCTTTAGCTATTTTTATTATTATTTTTTAAAATATTAGAAACTTTTATTGAGATTAACTTTAACAAGAGTTGCCTTATTAGAGAACGAGTGGAGATAAATAGGAGTTAATAATTGGTCGGTTTGATCTATTCGGCCTGTCAAAATCAAGGACCAAATGGACCAAACCTTTTTAAATAATAAACCAAACTTAAAAAGAGGATCAAAATCAAAGATTGAATTGGTTCTGTTGATTTGATTTTGAACCAAAAGAACCGAAATTTTATCATTTTTGTTTCTTACAAATTGCAACATTGAAATTTATAAATTTCACCTATAATTATTAAATATGCAAATAATCTAAACATAAAAAAAAAACTTTGTTCTCTCACTCACATAAAGCATAACATTTAACATTAACAACATCAACATCTTTAACATTAACATCCAAGTTAAGGCAACCTTTATCCTTCCTCATAAGCCATCAAATTAATATTCAAGAGTTATAACTTTTAAGTTCTGACATTCAAGATTTAATATAACAAAGATAATAAGATTAACTTTGGTAGTAACTTAAATAGTAAATAGGAAATATATTTTATATAAATACAACATATGTATATATAAAATATTAAATTTAGTTTTTTGGTCGATTCGGTCCAAAAATTTTAAGATCGAAAATTGACCAAAAAAATTGATTAAACCAAACTTTTTTGACTGATTGAGCTAAGTGGACCAATCAAACCTAATTGTTTTACCTAAATTGCATTTGGTTTGGTTGTGCCATTAGTTCGGTCCAATTTTGCTCACCCTTAGAGAGAAATATCATTGAGAGGTGAGTTGCAAACATCTTTTGTAAAGTTGGTGGCATCCCCATAATGTATTTGGGGTCTTCCATTAGGTGTTAATCAGCAATTCATTAAAATATGAAAACTGCTGGTGAAAATGTTCGAGGCTAAATTGGCAAGTTGGAAGGCAAAACCTTTCTTTTTAGGTTGAAAGATCACCTTGCTACGCACAATGTTGGCTAGTCCTTTTATTTTTTGTCTCTTTTTTAAATCCCCATAGGTGTTAAGAATAAGATTGTCAAGATTCAAAACTAGTTTTTATGGTGTGTGATTGATTCAAAGAAAAAAAAACATTTTGTTGAGTGAGGAAAGGTGTGTAACTATAAAGAGAATGAAGAGTTACGCATTACTAACATCAAGGTGAAAAATCGAGTTCTTTTAAACAACTAGATTTGGAGGTTTAGTGGAGAGAAGAATTGCCTTTTGAGGAAGGTGATTGTTGAAAAGGCCGATGAGGACCCCACTAATCTTCTATCGATGGACTTTGGTAGTAAGAGGTGCTCAAAAGTTTAGCAAAATATTGTTAATCCTCTTTCCCCCATTAACAATTTTTTCTTCCAAGTAGCATCTAATTTTGGTTTTTGGTTGGAAATGGTGCCAATATATAGTTTTGGGTTGATGAATGGGTCGGCGGTGTTAGTCTTCAACAAGTGGTGCCTAGGATATATGCACTCGAAGTGAATAAGGCACAATAAAAAATTTGGCAAGTGGACTAATAACGAATGGCATCAGAATATAGAATATTTGAAGAGAGAGCCCTTTGGTTAGGAGCAAGGACAATGGGTGAGCTTGATGGAGCTCGTAAAGGACGAAGCAGTTTGAAAAAAGGCACAAGTGGAGAATATAGCACTAAATCATTTTGCAGACTTTTAGTTCCAAAAAAAGAGCATATAAATGATATGTGGAAGAGGGTATAGGGCAAACTTAGCCACCCATAAGGTAGAGGTCTTCAGTTGGCAGCTTTTTTATGGCCGGACAATAATCAAACATGAGCTCGTGCAAAAGGGACTGTGTAAAAACATTCCAATTGTGTGTTACATTTGTAATAGGAAGCAAGAAACAGTTTAACACCTTTTCGTAAATGAGGATGTGTGGAAAATATGGACAAACTGATGCAAGTGGATTGTTCCGAATGACAAAAGGGTTTTTTTTTGGGAATGTGGTGGCACTAAAAGTATGGGATGTCAAATTGTGGGGATGGGATTTTTATATTTGCTATGGTTTGTTTGGTTATATCGCAACCAAATGGTGTTCCAAGGCAAAAATTGGAATTCAAGGTAAGTTTTTGATCTTGTTAAATTAAGGGTTGCGACATGAGCTAATGTTAAATGGCTAGGTGACTATAACTACTTTGGACAGATTTAAATTCTCTAACTTATCGATAGTGAGCAGGAAAGATAAACAAGAAAGAAACGAGATTGAGTGGAAGAAATTGGGTTATGGATAGATAAAATTCAATATCAATATAAAACAAAATGATGTTGTTTTTACTATTTAAAGTTAACTTTGAACAAATATTAGTTTGATTAATGAAATGTTAACATTAATTAATTTTTCATGACACATAAATAGTATTTTTCAAACTAATGAGGAAAGTTTACTTTCAATAAAATCTAATGGATTAGAATTATTTTTCATAATTGAATTATATATAATTTATCATTTTTAATATATAATTGACTTATAGTTTAATTTAATAAAAAATTAATTTAATAATAATTAAAAATAATTTTTAAAATTTCAACTCAATTTTTAATATACGATTTTTTTTAAGTGGTAAAATTATGTATCAATAAATGAGTCAAATATTGATATGCTAGTTATAAATTTTTTTGATAAAAAAATTACGATTTTATGTGGTTGATATTTTTACATTTTATTATTTTTATAAAATTAATAAAAAATAAAATATCAATAAAATCGAATCTAAAACATAGAGCCCATGAAGCATAGCTTAGCTTTTACAAATTAATTCGTTTGGCTGGGCTTCAAAAAAGAAAAGCCTAAAGCAAAATATTTTTGACCCATATGTAGAATATTGTGGCTTCCGAAAAAAAACCATAGATTTGATCTTGTGCGGGAACAGCGCAACCAAAAACAAAAAGAGAAGAAGAAAATGGAGAAAGGAGAAGCGAATTGGAGTGAGGAGGTAGAGGATCTGGTGACAGCCGGAGACACACAAGGCGCAATCTCCTTCTTAGAAAACCTCGTTTCCAAACTCGAAACGACGCCGTCTACGGACGACCTCCAATTAGCCTCTGCCCTTTCCGACTTAGCTGCTCTCTATTCCTCCATCGGCTACTCCCTTAAGTCCGATCAACTTTTCTCACGCGCTTCTCTCCTCAAGCAACACGCTCACTCTTCGAGGTACTCTCTCTCTTTCTCTTTGGTTTTTTTCTTTTCTTGCATTTCTTTTAAATGGAAATGGAATAATTAAGGCTGAATTTCCTGGCTTTTCTTTTTCCTTTTTATTTCAGTGACGTCGGGCTTGCAAAGAAAGACTTGAAGGAGGATTCTTTACCGTTACCTAACGTTTCTTTGGCTGGAAATGACAAGCCTTTGACTCATGGTGCAACTACACATTAAATCTTGAGCTTAGCCTTCTTTTGATTGTTGCTTTTCGTATTTGCTTTCGTTTCCGAAAGCAGATATAGTGTTTCATTGCTTTATATGACAAAATTTTGCTTCTGTAGTTCTTGGAAAACCTAATTTTTTTGCATTTTTTTCTATAATTTTATTGCATTTGCCTCTACGATTTTATGGAAGTGAATAGTATTTCTTCTTTTGCAAAAGGGATCATGGAAAAAGGTCCAATGGCGGGTGATGATGGTGCGCCACTGAAATTATCATCAGATGATGGTATCTTTTGTTTCCCTAGCTTGTTTTCCTCTGAATGATCTTGTTTTGGGGGTTCTTTGTGATGTCCATATATTAGTTTATGAACGACTTGTCATGAAATTGCAATTCGGATGGTTTGTACAGATTGGGAAGCAATTGCAGATCGTGAACCAAGTGAATTACTTTCCTCAGAATGCTTGCCTGGAGTATCAAGTTTGTCATTGGAAGATAGCAAAGTTGAAGCCCCTAAGAGACGGGGAAGGGGAACATTTTCTTACAGAAAAAGTGAATTGTATAGTGATCGACTCTCTGATGATGTGTCTGCTGCCAAAGATACAGAGAATGAGGATGTGTGCATAAACTCTGAAATAAAGACAGTGGAAAGTAATCCTTAATGTCTCTCAATTTAAAGTTATGTTTCCATAAATGCTCAATATATGCATATCGCCCTCTATGATAGGCCGAGCTTATTACTTCTAAATATTGAAGATAGACAGTGCAGTCTTTTCTTAAATGAACCTAAAACTGTGTTTATTTGCTTGTTCCTAGGCCTTGATCTTGTGGGATGTAGAATGCCTTTCAGACTGAAATATTTTAACATCGGCTTATGCTAATGAACTATTTTTTGGCTTCTCATGTCGTTTCTGATGATTTCAAGTTTTTTATGGGTTCTTCTTTTTCTTTATCTGCTTTTTT